TGAATGGCATGGTTCCCATAGGATCTGGGCAATTCCAGCTGAAGCGCGGGAGAGCCGAAAACGTCTCCAGGAGGGTGGATCCCCCCCGGGGCAGAATCCTCCCAATCGGTCAGGATTCTGCGTCAAAACCATGATTTGGGATGCGAAAACTGCACTCTGCGGAAGCGAATTTGGGGTTTTGTAAGGCCCCGACGCACGATCCGAGCCCAGCGGGGCTTCAATTTCCCCGGGGGGAGGGATTCGCCCGAAGTTCCCCGAAGTTCGCCCCCCGCCAGGTCTTAGGAATTTTGGGTTTTGAGCTTGTTTCCAATTTCAAGGGTGGAATGCACCAAATCCTGTACAGTTCTAGCAAAATCACAGAGGAAACATATATTTTTATTGATTTTCTATGTTTTCTATGAAATTTATATAAATCTGTAAACATTGAATGGTTGTGTAGTGTTTTCATGCATTCCATGGCAAAACTTACATTTTCGAAGCAAATTCAGCTGGCATGAGGCATTCACGAAACTTGGGCTTCCGGGCGCCCCGGAGGCTGCCAGGATCAGCTGAGCGCCTTAAGTGCAAGTAGCTGGATCGCTGCTGAGCCGCTGTAGCTGAGGGCTTCACATGATGCTGTTAGCATCTCCTGCGCTGCGCTTGGCTAGCGTGGCAGCTTGACCATCTTGTCCACGGGCAAGATGCAATCATGCTGCGTGGTTGCTGGACGCGACAGCCACCTGCATTACCTTCAGCGTCTCAAGTGCCCGCCAATCACAGGCCCGCGTTTGCGGAAGAAGCTGAGCTGAGCGAAGGCTTGCGCTGCGAGGCTGGAAAGCCATGGGCCATGGGCCATTGGTTCAGGCATGCGATCTGGAGCCAGCCTTTGGCCTAGCGCCTGCACATAGAGCTCGCAGCCCAGCGACAAAGCTTGTGCTTGACACCGCAGGTCATAGGAATGAGGTAGTATCTACAGTGAAGTCTCCAGAGTGGAGATGCTGTGCCCCATGGGCCTTGGAACGCAGGACTCAGGGTCAGGGTTGATCGTCTGGACAAGACATGCGACCCATGTTCTAGACTGCGCTTTAATTAAGACTATGGCTCAGCCCCAGTGAACATAACATATGGTCAGCCAGCGCCAGAAGCTGGGGCTTATGGAGCTGCGGCCAGATGGCCCCATGGCCATGGCCCATGGCCTATGGGCCCGCAGCCTATGGCTGCGCGAAGCGGCGTGGCAAGTGCTTGAACACTAAGCCATCCAGCCTATCCCTAACGCTGCGGCTGAAAGGCTAGGGCGCGGCTAGGCCAATGCCCAATGTCCCATCACCCAGTGCCTCAAGCGCCCAGCTGAAGCGTCCAGCTGAAGGCCAAAGGGGTGGGGGGGGGGAGTTTGAAATCTTGGCGGCCCCAGGTCCAAGGTAACTGTTGCAACGGCAACTCGGCATTTGGGGCCATGGCGCATCGCCGCGTGGTTGGCTCATGCGGGGGGCTGGAGCGTGTGAGCTTGAGACCTGAGCAGTGGCTGGCAGGGAACCCTGACACCGCTCGAGCAGGACAGGCGCGCCCACTTTCGGACTTGGGTGCGCGGCCGCAAGGCCAAGGTCAGGGCCTGGTGTCATGGCCAATGGTTCACGTTAGGGCCCGCCGCATTGTGCGACTCGTAGAGGACTTCCACTGAGAAAAAAAAAAAAAAAAAAAAAAAAAAAAAAAAAAAAAAAAAAAAAAAAAAAAGCGCTCGCACGCGCGTGCGCACGCGCGGACTTGCACGCGCGCGCGATGCATACGCGCATGACACGCGCATGCATACGTTCGCGCTTGTGTTCGCACCCGCATGTGCATGCACGCGCACACGCGCGCTAGTACGCAGGCGCGGGCACGCAAGCGCACCCAAACGCCACCACCATCACGCGCGCACACACACGCACACACGCACGCACGCATACACGCACACATACACGCACACCTTGATTCATTCTCATTTTCGCAGACACACGCTCGCAGCCGTGTTGTCAGTCGTTATCGCATTGGGTTTCATGACAGCACATCCAGCCATGTTCATCACGCATCCATGGCAATTCCGCAATTGGATGCAATGCGTACTACACGTGTGTTGTTCTTGCTTACATATCTCACCATGAATGCACGCTTGGCGTTCTCCTCTGATGAAGCACACATGAGACCATCAGCACCCACACCACCGCCACAGCAGATTGCAATGCCATCATGAGTTGTGGCTCCAGTTGTATTCTCAGAGGGCCTAGTAACCTACATCGGTGTTGGTGTTCTCAACTTCGCTTCCACTTAGACCATCGTTCTCAGTGTGTCAATGGCAGACTCTTCTACGATCGACATTGCATTTCCAATCGATGTCTTGGATTGGCCGAACCACGTCCTATCTGCCCTCTCAGCTGAAGAGCGAGATCGCCTCGTTTGGAACATGCGCCAGTGCGGCCTGGCAATTTGCACGGACTTCAGCGGGATTGATGCGCCCCGTGAAGCGATGGACCAGACGGTTGTCGCCATTCAGAAGTACTTCGAGGAGAACGAGCCCGGCACGAGCTTCACGCCGAACAGTGGTTCAGATCTTGTGATGTTGGGGTTGTGCAAAGCCAGGTGCTATCACGTGCCGCTCAACGTGAGGGCAGCACCTCATGCCATTTTCTTGACATCTTGGATCGTATTCCATCCTGGGCGAAGAACGTCGTGGTGGAAGGGTCCAAGTTCGAGGACGCTGACTCCTACGAGGACATGTCAGCAAAGTTGAATGATGTGAAAACTTTCGTTGAGCAGAACCGCAAGTTGCTGTTCAACAGCGTGCTTACGTGCCACTGTGAAGTACATCAGCGCGAGTGTCAAGTATACCCTCTTGTCCATGGCAGGCCGCCGACGGACTCAGCTGAGCTGAAAGCCAAGCTTCGCAAGAAGATCCACGAGCACACGGCCAAGAGGCGGAAAAGATCGGGCAGCGAGTCTGATGGCGATGAGCTGGATGACAATCCGATCCGTACTAACATCGCTGGGGTACCATGCATCGCTTTCACGCCGATCGGAAGCAATGACAGAGATCTCGACCCAGCGAAATTTATCACCACGTGTGGCTAACAGAACGTCGGACTCTGGCCGAGCAGAATCGGGAAGACCTTTGTATGGGCGAGTGCGTGACCCAGTACCCAGTGGAATCCAGGATAGTGCCGCACGTCAATCATGTGCAGACGGTTATCTATATACACGACGGCCCCACCCAGCGCGGGCTCGGGGTGCGCCGGTACAGAATGATGGACGCTGGAGTCAACAGGGAGACGATGCGTTGGGTAGGCCCTTCACCCGAAGACGCGCAGAATGATTACATGGCCAAGTTCATGGCAACGAGATCGAGAAAGCACTTCACGGGCAAGGTGTACTTCTTTTGTTCTGATGAGGAGCGCGTGGTCGAGTACCGGCGTCGCGCGCGTAAGCGAGGGTTCCACCTGTCCTTGGAGGACTTGGCTGCCATGAGCCCCGACGATCTCCTCAACGTGGTCTTCGCGCCTGGCCTCATCGATCGATTTGCAGCGTGGAAGCAGAATATAGCGCTAGCGACTACATCGTTGCGGACATCGACCACTGGCCAGGACATGGCCCCCGAGCTGGCGAGGACTTTCCGCGCCTTCTGACTCACGGAACCGCGGTCTGCATCGAGGGCGACAAGTGGAAGCTCGCCTTGGGCATCGAGCGCTTGTTCGCCCAGGGCTTCAACGTTTGGCCAGGAATGCATCCGACGTTCCCGACAGCTCGGGTTTTGCCAGAGTTGACCGAGCTGAAGGAGCACCAAGCAAGGACCGTCGGTGGTAACTGCATGCACTTGGCGATCCAAGCGTCATGGATGCTGTATGTCTTGGCGAACGTCAGGAAGGTCAAGACATTCATTCCCAAGGCCATCCTGCCGACCAATGCCGAGAGCTCAGGTGATGAAAAGGGTGATGCTCCTGATGGCACTTCTGCTCATGCTGCTTCTTCCCACGGCGCGCTGTCAGCTGATACTCTTGAGTTTGGTACTGTGGGGCCAATGAGCCGTGGACCCTCGCCATCGCAAGAACCCTATCAGCGTTGACCCTGAGACGTTGAGACATCCACAGGTGCTAGCAACATGAGCCGAACACTACTTTTTGATGCATGTGCGGGTTGATCTTATGTATCTTCCATTGCTTAGTTGTCCTGTCCTCCTTGCTTTGCAAATGCCCGCACCCTCCTGGTCGCTTTCATGCACCGTGTATTGTGTTCACTGCTCTGAGCTCCGGGCTCCAGCGATGAAAATGTTGTCTCTTCATGCCAGCCGAGGTTGACCGATCGGTGGAGGTATGAGTCTGCTTGATCGCAGGTAGTGGCAGTCAGTCTGTTCTCTGCTCACACACTTGTGTTCACACGCCTGCGATGGTGGTCGGAGTCAGGAGTCAGGAGAGCGGCGAGCCGCCTCAAGACGGCCGAGATGCCCCGAGACGATGACGTTGCAAGACGGCCCAAGAAGCACCCGAGACGGCTCAAGATGCGCCCAAGACATTCCATGACGGCGGTCAACGCGGACCTAAAGTCCGATCCTTCCGTTCCAAGAAGCTCTTAGGAGGCCCCATGAGGCACCTAAGGCCCCAATAAGCCACCAAGCCACCCCAAAGGAACCATGAAGATGCCTCAAGAGCAGAGGCCCCGAAAGGGCCGACAAGAGGTTTCAATCTGTCCTGCAATGGGACCCCGTGAGGCGTGAGGCCTCCCCACGTTGCCCTCGACATCCCAATGCATTTCCAAAAGGCCTCATGCAAACAACCCGGGCGCGATTGCGGGGAGGACCGAAGGCCGAAGGCCACTACATTCATTGCATCACGGCATCACAAGACATGACATAACAGTACACGCCACATCCCACAACACAACACGATAACACAACATGCTTTGGTCCAAAGAGTCTGGAGCGACTCAACTTCGATTTTTCAGTGACCGAGTTCCTAGTGTGCAGTGCCTTCGGCCTTCACTGAGCTTCACTCCACACCATGGATTGGGAAGATGAGGCTGCTGGCATGGAGGACGCCTTCGGCTCCGAGGAGGAGGTTCAGCCTCCACCGGCAGGAGGCGCTTCCCGCGGTCGCGGGTCACGCGGCCGCGGCGGCAGGGGCCGCGGCAGCCGCGGCCGTGGGCGTTCCAGCAGTGGCCGTGGCGCTGCCACCACCAAGTGCTTTGCGCAACAGTGCACCGAGAAGAAAAAGTGTCACGGCAAGTTCTGCGCCAAGCACCACAAGGCAGCGGAGAACATCAAGAACCAAGCTGACAAAGATGGCGAACTACAGACCTATGCCGACATCTTCAATGACCCAGTCAAGTGCAACCAAGCTTTCGAACAATACGAGAAGGACAACTGCGATGGGCGCTTCCGCAAGAAGCTCATCGACTGGGGCCAAAGGAAGCGGGCCTTCGGCGTGAAGATCAGCACCGAAGAACGCGGCATTGAGGAGTGGCTGGACGTGACAGAATACGTCACTATGAAAACCAAGAACATGCAAGAGGGCCCCGACAAGGAGCAGTTGAAGATTGCGAAGACCAAGGAGTTCGAGGAGATGTGCAAGGCGCCTGGCATCGAGAAGGAGGGCGAGTGGCCCAACACGCGCATCTGGGTCTTCGTGAAGAAGCAACGGATTGGAGATGTCGAGAGGTACATTGGCACCAACTTCGAGGAAGGGTCGAAACAGATGAAGGATATGACGAAGGAAGATAAAGACCAGTTCAAGCAGTACACCCTGACCTCAACTCCCTCGAGCAGCAACGCTTTCTTGGCGGGGACGCTCGGGAAGGGCACTGGTGGGTGGGGCGACGACGGCGACCGCGACAGCGCGGCGCAGAAGGCGAAGCCAAGTGATGAGCAACAAGAAGGGCCACCTCAAAAGAGACTCAAGCACGTTGATGTGGCCAACGTGGCGCCCAAGTTGACAGAGAAGCTCGCGATCAAGGTCGACAAAGCGGAGAGGAGCGCCACTGCCCAGATGGCGTTGATGGAGCAGGCACTTCGCGATGCCACACCTTTCGGCCACACCGACCAGTCCTTGACTAACTACAAGCAGACCGTCACCGTTCGCATGCACGCGTTGCGCCTTTGGGTTGGTCCTACTGTCGTGGACGCGCAGCAGCCGCCAACGCCAGTGGCACTGCAGACCCCAGTGAAGCAACAGACGTCCGCCGAGAAGCTGGAACCCACGGAAGGCACGAAGGACGAGCAGGATGACAACCAGCAGAATAACGATGACGACAAGAAAGACGCCTCATGCCAGAAGGCCGTGGAGGGCACTCCTGAAGCCGCAGCCACAGCTAGCCCCAAGGAGGAGTTGGCACCACCTGGAGGCGGAGGCGAACTGTCCTCGGCCGCAGTGGGCCCGGCAACGCCCACGACCGACACGAAGAAGGCTGCCCCCCAATCTGTGAAATCCAGCGGTAGCACGAGCGTAGTACAGAAGCAGAGCAGGACCTTGAGAACCTACTTAGCTGATCAAGGAGTTCGTGGCCAAGTCTGTAATGACATCTCAAAGTTGATCTCATTGCCTGAGTTGCGGCATCACGTTGAGAAGATCCCCAGCGCGGTATCATCGGATGAGCTCACTGCCATCGAGGAGGCCATCAATGTGGGCTGCGAGTACTTCGCCCAGTTCATCACATCGCTGAGGCAGTCTACGGGATCTCTCACTGGCCACATCAGGAACCAGAAGAGCAAGGCCGACAGGGACGAGAGGAAGAAGGCATTGGATGAGGCCAACAAACAAATAAAAGCCTCAAAAGAGGAGACGAAGCGCCTGCAGGAGAAATTGAAAGCGACAGCCAAGATGGCGCCACCACTCTTCAAGCTGCAGTCCGAGGAGCTGTTGAGCCACAACCTGATCATGAATGTCAAGGCCGCTGATGCGGGCAAGGGGCTAGAAGATGATACCATCTTGGCACCTCTCGTCATCAAATCCCCGCCTGAGTGGAAGCTGGCATCTGAGCAGCCCGCTCTTGCAGTTCAGCTTGGCAAGTTTGGCGCGAGCTACAACAATACTCCAGAAGCTAAGCAATCAGGTCGGGCCCAAGAGCCTCTCTACACCGGTGAGGGGAAAGAGGTTGCTGACCTATTCCTGGAGAAGCACATGAAGAACGTGAATGAGTCTCTCCAGATCCATCGAGGCATTGAGGGTGTAGATACGTTCAAGAGCGTCGTCGAGAGCACGTGGATGTGGGGCTACAGAATCCCAAACCACCACGTCGCTCAGAGCCCGAACGGCCTCGGGATGATCAACACAGTTGTGTACGGCTCAGTGAACGTGATGCTTTTTGATGCTCAGCAAGTGGTCCCAGCATATCGACAGATCCTCGGGAAGGACGGCATCACGCTTCAAGATGTGATACATAATATCGAGATGTCAGGCTCTGAAGAGATCAAGACATTGAAAGAGAAGGGCACGATCATTCAGTATGTCTCTCTCGCCGCTGGTGACTCGATCTACGTGCCCAGCGGCTGGATTCTATCAGAAAGCGTGTCGAGTGGTGCGATGGTGTACGGCCTTCGCAAGACGACTCTGTTCAAGACCGCTGGATCCGAGTCGTGCGCAGAGATGCTGGGGCTGACGGCTGGCAAGAAGCATCCCAAGCAAGAGGCTGTCTTGAAGTTTCTCAAGGGCACGGCTGATGAGGACGCCGACGCCTAGGAACGACGTTTCTACATGTAGTTGGCAGATGCGTGGATTCAGTTTCCTTCTCAATGAAGCGAGTTGTTACCTCTAAGTCCACACTTGAGCCACATGCACTCATGAAACATCAAGCCGATGAGAACACATCAGCGAACATAGATCATATCACACATATCCTGTCCACGCACCACACACCACACAAGGATCGAACATCCGCATCCCATATCCTTGAGTGCACCTCTCCTTCTCATTCTGCCTACTCCGTTCCATCCCAACCACTCGGACAAGGCAATGCCATGCAATATTCTCTGACCTCTCTCATCTCATCCACATCTGCTATGCTACTTGTTGTTGGGTTGGCGGTGCGGCCAAGCCCGGGCGGCCACGAGCTAGCGCACTGGACGGCAGTGGTGGCGTGGTCGACGTTGAGATTGCCAGGAGAGATAAAGATAAACGCCATGCAATCCAGAAGGCTTTCGCCGCCCCATGCCCCAAAGATCCGAGAAGTTCCGAACTTGTCTTTGAGAGGGGCCCAAGCAGGGGGGCCGTAAGCCGAACATCCTAGCTCCACGCTCCAAGAGGGCCCAAGGAGGTCCTCGAGACCCCGTAGGGCATCACAGATGCTCCCAGGAACCCTCGAGAAAACGCAAAGAGAATCCCTACATAGCAAAGTATAGCCTACGAGAGCCCAAGATGCCCTTCAAGAGACCTTTACTTTGGTTTTCAGAAGCCTCCCCCTTGAGAAGCGTAGAACCCAACGATAATCAAAGAGATCTCGCGACCCAGGTACAGTGGCGGGATGAAAATAAAGCAGGTATATACTGATGTCTGGATGTTTACGCGTGTGGGGCTTCAGGGCTGTATTAAAAAGTGTAAAAAAGAAGTTGGCTTAGGGAGCGACGCTGGAAAATACAATAAAATGAGATATGTGTGAAATGCGAAGTACTTTTTTCTGAGAACGTATGAAAAAAGCCATTTATAGGATTGCCAGGTCGCGCGATTTCCTTGCACGGAGCCCAAATAAGCCCTGGGAAGAGGCTTCCGTGCAACCTAGCAGTTTGAGCATGCCTTTGCCCTTTGTGCACGCAGCCCGTCGCTCTTCCCCCTGACAACCGAAACGGTTGGCGACCCGGTTCAGATCGGGTCGCCCACTCTGTTTCGCCACCTTGGACCTCTCCACGGGCCAGCCTCGGGCCTCGGGGCCGTGGCCACCGGCAAGCGACCCGGGGAGAGGGTCGAGAGGTCCGGAGGGTCCGCCTCCGCCCGCCCCGTCCTCGCCTCCCTCCTCCCTTCAGGGACCGATGGCGCAGTCAGGGGGCAGCGTCGTCGGGGGGGGGGGATGGGTCGAGGGGGGCTCTCTTCAGTGACCGATGGCGCAGTCAGGGGCAGCGTCGTCAGGGGGGGATGGGGCCGAGGGGGAGCCGCGTCGACCACCGATGGCCCATGGATCTCCGACGGGGGCCCGAGCGCCCACCCCGCCCAGGAGCGCGCGGATTCGCTACAAGGGGGCCTATCGCCGATCCGTCGGCGACGTATAGCCGGTTCCAGCTCGGTCTGCCCCCCCCCCCTGAGCCAGTTCCCCCCTGGCGTTGCCACTCGCTCGGCAAAACGCAGACCCTCCCTCCTGCCCCTCATGGCCTGTGGTTCTCTCTCTCTCTCTCTCTCCCTCCCTCCCTTTCTCTCTCTCTCTCTCTCTCTCTCTCCCTTTTTTTTTTCTCTCTCTCTCTTTCTCTCTTTCTCTCGCTTTCTCCTTTTCTCTCTCTCTCTCTCTCTCTGCTCCAGGCAGCCCACATGAAGCCAGAGTAGGTGGGGTCCGAAGATCGCGCCGCATCGCCGATGCACCAGCGATGCGACGCGATCTCGACGTTGCCTATGCATCGCCGACGTGTCGGCGATGCGACGCGATCCTTCGGCCCTATCTGCGCCAGCCCCATCCTGGTGACCGAGGACGAGGATGATTCGCTCCAGAGCGCCCTGGAACGCCCCCACAGCAGTCTGGAACGTTCTGAAATGACCACGGCAGCCCGCAGGTAGGTCCAAGCACCTTTCCACAGGTGGTGAACCCGCTGGCGCAGTAAGAGCGACTTGCTGGGATCTTCGCACCGGCAACCGACCCATCACTCCCACCGAGTGAGCGATCGGGTGAATAGCTCAAAGTGTTGCGGTCGCCCGATACAGTGGGGGCCCATGCCAAGAAACACCCTGCTCGCCTCCAGGGTGCCCTGGGCTTCTTGGGTGTCGATGGTTTTGCCATGCAAAGCGTGACGTTCCCACACCAAAATTCCATGGACGTCCTGAGGTCTCAGGGGTTGGGTTTCCTGTGGAAGGTTTCTCGTGGTCGGGCCCCTGCTGTACCGCCGCCCGCCCGCTCTCGGAGACTCCCGATGGACCCGGGGTCACCCGCAGGGGCGCGAAGCCGACCAGGCCTCGCGCGCCGCGGCCTGGGCTGGCGAGCGTGCCCCCCTCCAGAGAGGAACAACCTGGAGTCGAGGGGAACCCGATGTTCCTCGGGTCTCCATCCGCGGCTGCTCCGCTGGCCATCTCGTGCACGCAGGCGCCCTGTGGACCACAAGGGGACCTCGTCCCCTCTTCTCTAGGCCTCCTGGATGGGGTCGGAGTAGATGGGGTCGGATGATCGTGCCGCATTGCCGATGCATCGCCGATGCGGCTCGATGCGGGGCCCACTTTTCTCCACGCCGACGTCACCGATGCATCGGCGACTCTCACCACTGCATCGCCGATGTATCGACGATGCAGCGAGATCCTCCGACCCCATCTACTCGGACCCCATCCAGGAGGCCTCTATCTCTCCCGTTCCTGATTTCGGCGGCCCGACTGCACCCTCGCCCGAGCCCAGACCTGCGACGGTCCTGTGCTTTCTGCACGCGGTCCCCGGAAGTCCCGACCCCCCCCCCCAGGGCCGGCGTCTCGTCCCGAGCCTTCCTTGCTGACGGCCCCAGGGGCCTGGTGGGGGGGGCCAAAGAGTCCCACCACGGCCTAAAACCTCTCGTCGTGAATGTTTGTTCACAACGCGAGCAAGTCAGGGAGCGTATCCTCATCCGAATTCTAGACGCTTCGCGTACGGTCGGGCCGACGCCTTAGGACGCTGCTGCCTGCCGCCTGACCGCGGCCCCGCGCGCGCCCGCCGCTAGTCGCGGCCGCAGGCCGCCCGCGACTGCCCGCCGCTGGCGCTTCCGCCTGCGGCTGTAATTTTTTTTTGTAAGTACGGTCGGGCCGAGGTGTAGAAGATCGAGATCGGTTCGGGGAGGGTACCCTAATGCTCTTCGTCTTTGTTGGGGTGCTCTTGTGCATCCTGGGGGAGGGTGCCCTCGAATGTTCTTCAGTTTGGCCAGTGGAGGTCTCATGTTCTTGAAGGATGTTCTTCTGTCCTAGGTCAGCCGTAACCCAACCAGCCCATCCATAAACGATGCCTAGGCGAGTTGCCCTGATCAGGGACGTGGAGGAGCATGCAGTGGAGTAAAGGGCTGGGGAAGCCGCCGTACCCAAAGAGGGGGAGGACAGAGTAGGACTCGGAGGAAGAGGAGGAGGGGGAGGGGGGGAGGGAGGAGGAAGGAGGAGGAGTAGGAGGAGGATGAGGAGGGCGAGCAGAATGGACAGAGGTCCCTTGGATGCTTCTGCGGAGTCTCTTCGGATGTCTCTTGCAAGCTTCTTGGAATCCTCTTGGAGGCCTCCTGGCGGTCCCGGGGGCCTATTGGAGCGTCTTGTGTGCCTCGGGGGAGCCTCGTGGGAGTCCCCTGGGAGCCTCTTGGGCTTTGGGGCCTCTTGGGGCCTCCTGGGCGCCACTTGGGGCACTCTAGGGACTCTCTTGGAAGCGATCGATCAACAAAGGGGAGGTCCTCAATTGATCTCCTCCTCCAGGGAGGCCGAAATGGGCCCAAAACCGATGTGACATTAGATGATGTGTGCCTTGTAGCCGATGCCTTCTTGGACGCTCTAATAACGACCCGCGACCCCCCCCGTCCAGACACAGTGGGAGGGGGTGGGGGGGTGGGGTCAAGACACCTCCTGCCCACGCGGCACATGCCGTCTCGCTCCCTCCCATCCGCCCGCCCAACAAAGCAGCACCCGAGCACCCCCTTCTAAAACCAATGCTAACTGGTCGCGGGGCGCCCGCACATGTTGCAGATGTGCAGGCATAATGCGTGTTGCATTGTAAGCTCGCAGGGATGGCTGGCCTGCGCGCAGCAAGCAATGTGAGGGCACTCCCGCCGCCCCTGTCAAACAATCAATGCCATGTGGTCGCGGGGCGCCCGCGCATGCTCCGGATTTGGAGACAAAGCGTATAATGTATGGTTTTCGTTTGACGGGGATGGTTGGCTTGCGCGCAGCAAGCAATATGAGGGTACTCCAGCCGTCCCTGTCAAAAGCCAACGCAAAGTGGTTGCGGGGTGCCCGCGCATGCTGCAGATTCGGAGGCAAAGTGTATGTTGCATTGTTTGTTGGCAGAGATGGTTGGCTTGCGCGCAGCAGGCAGCATGAGGGCGTCCCCGCTGGCCTTATCAAAAGCCAATACACAGTGGTCGCGCGGCGCATGCACATGCTCTAGATTTGAAGGCAACATGTAGTTTGTATGATGTGTTGAAGGGGATGGTCGGCCTGCGCGCAGCAAGCAATGAAGTAACACTCCCGCCGTCCCTGTCAAAAACCAACGCAAAGTGGTCGCGGGGCGCCCGCACATGCTCCAGATTCGGAGGCAAAGTGTATTCTGGCTGGCCTGCGCGCAGCTAGCAATGTGAGGGCACTCCCGCCGCCCCTGTCAAAAAATCAATGCAAAGTGGTCGCGGGGCGCCCTCGCATGCTCCATTTATGGAGGCAAAGTGTATGTTGCATTGTTGTCTGACAGGAATGGTGTGGGGGGCGGTGTCATGGGCCAGGTTGGCTGCAGGTCGGGTGGTGCAGGGGGTGTTTTTTTTTTTACAAAAAAAAAGGAAACAAAAATCCACTCCTCCCCGAACAGGAAGGGGGGAAGATGGAAGAGGAAACCCGTCAAACCACCTCCGCCCAGAGGCCTGGCGGAATTTGTCTTAGAGGAGGGCCCGTTGAGACAACGGCGGCTCTCCCGCCCGGACAAGAATCTGTTCAGAGTCGGTCTCCGGACCCCTCCCTCGTGTGTCCGTCCTGCCCCGTTCTTCGAGGCTGATCCAGCCGTGGCGACGAGAAGCCTCCAGGAGGCCCAAAGAGTCGAGTAGGGGATCGACTACATTTAGGTCCGGCGTGTCCCTCTACAGGAGGAATATTGAGAAATAGTAAAAAATAGCCTGGGGACGATTTTTCAAGTTTTGCCTATTTGTGGGCATGTTTTTAGCATTTGCATTTGCTATTTTTCGCCCAAGATCCCCCTGTATAGAGACACGCCCGACCTAAGACTACATAATTAATTGACCCCAAAAATTATATGTTCGTCGAAGCTACAAGAACACGTATACAACGGCCCGTATACCCACGAACATTTCACGCACGATGTTTTGCAAATTCGAAGCGGAAAACAAGTTTGGGGTAAATCAATGTTGTAGCCGAGCCCGTACTCGACAGAGGACGAGGAGTGCCAGGGAGGGCCGCCGACGCCCATCCTCCGAGCTCCGATCCTCGTCGTGCCTTTGTCTTTTACCCCGCCGCCCGCGGGCGCGTGGCTCCGCCTGGAGGCGCCCCGAGGGCAGCGCTGCGTCCGAGATCCATTTCTGCTGGGCTGGCCCTCCGACGTCCTCCGGGCTTCGATCCTCGTCGCGCCGGTGTCCTCCCCGCCGCCCGCGGGCGCGTTGCTCCGCCTGGAGGCGCCCCGCAGCTCCCGCACGCCCTGCAGAAGCCACAGCGACGAGGGCGCCGCCGGCACGCGAGCATCGATCCTTTCGGTCTCCAGCCGGGCGGCGCCACGCGGTACGTTCGCGCGCAATGATGGCTCTGCTCAGGTTTCCGGCAACAGTGCGGAAGTCCCGGCGGAGTAGAAGTTCCCGACCTTGTCCCCAAGGGTGGCGTTGCGTCCCGAATCAATTTTTGGTGGCCTCGATCGAGGCCCGAAAATTGACCCCATCGGACGGGGCTAGGACGAGGATAAATCCGGGGGGGGTGCCCTCATGGGGTCGCCCTGGTTCCGGGTTGGCCGCCGCCCGGGTGGGGGAGGGGGTGTATATGAATAGGGAATGGTGACAAAACTTGCCCCGAGCAGGGGAAGGAGGGGGGTTGTGGAAAGAGAGGAAGCAAATTCGTTAAACCATCCAAGCCCAGAGGGGCTGGTGCGATTTGTGGCTCGGGCCCTGGTAGAACATCTTGAGGATTGAAGACCGAGGCTCACGGGATTGAGCAAGGAACTTGACGACACTCCAACTCGTGCCTCGCAGGCACGGGCAGCCGCAAGTGGGGTGACCGACCTTGAGATCGGACGTCGTGGAAAGACGCAACATCGGGGAAAAACACAACCAGAGCCCCAGATCCAATTTTTCTGCATCACTTTTCGAGTCAGATCGACCTGTGAGGACCCCGCAGCCCGAAACGGGGCGTACAGTGGAAACCCATGCCAAGAAACGCTCTGGTTGCCTCCAGGGTGCCCTGGGTTCTTGGGTGTCGATGGTTTTGCTATGGGAAGCGTGACGTTCCCAGACCAAAAATCAATGGACGTCCTGGGGTCTCAGGGTTGGGTTTCTTGTGGAATGTATCTTGTGGTCGGGCCCCTACTGTACCGCCACCCGCCCGCTCTCAGAGTGTGCCCCCCTCCAGAGGAACAATCTGGAATGTGGGAATGTGGTTGGGTTTCTTGTGGAATGTGTCTTGTGGTCGGGCCCCTACTGCACACGCCAAGTGTGAACAAATTGCAGCGACTGGATCTCGGGGTCCTCATCCGAATTGATCCTCGGCCTGCCTTCGCCTTGCTTTACGTTGGGCATGTCCCTCTACAAGAAGAAGGTTCAAGAATGACGAAAAGATAATCGGGCGACGCTTTTTCGTGCTCTTTTGACCATGTTTGAATATGTTCTGGCTTTTGTTTCGCTATTCTTCCGACATCCGCCTGTCGGTGAGACCATGCCCGATCCAAGCGTGGCTCCCCCTCGGGCCCGCAGGCGCTGTGGCTGCGCCCGGAGGCGCCGGACTTCTGCCCTGGGCCCTGGGATTGGGGCTGGGCGGCGCCGCCAGAGGACCTGCGGCCGCCACCATTCCCTCCCCGGCGGCAGAGATGGAAAAATGGCCCCCTCTTCGGACGGGGGCTTGGTCTCAGAGGAGGAGGAGGAGGAGGAGGAGGAGGAGGAGGAGGAGGGGAGGAGGTGGAGAAGGAGGAGGAGGAGGAGAAAGAAGAAGAAGAAGAAGCAGAAGCAGAAGCAGAAGAAGAGGAGGAGGAGGAGGAGGAGGCACACATACCGCCAGCCTTCCCTCCCTTTCCCCTTGTTGGGCCTCCTGGGAGGCCCTCGTCGCCGCCGCTGGATGCGCTTCGAGATCCTGGTCAGAGCGCAACCTGGGAGAGGTCCGGAGAGTAGCGGTATTGGTACCTTCTCGGTTTCCCCAAAGGACGGATGCATCCGTTCCAGAGCGTCCCGGAACGCTCTCAGAGCGCTCCGGGACGCTCTGAGAAGGCCGCGGCGCCCGAGACAGACTCCAGAGCCGCCTGATCTCAGAGATTCTTGATTGATCCTCACCCGAATTTGTCCTCGTCCTGGCTTCGTCGTAACTACCTCTCTCTTTCGGTGAGATCGAAGCGGGTATGGAAAGGATGGGCACAAAGACCAACAGTGGTTCCTGTCCATTTTGAACTGGAATTCGCTGTCGGTGTCGTCGCGGCCGTGGTCCGTTTGAGATTAAAGGTCGCCTGCCCAACAGCGGCCGCTGTCGGTTTCGGACAACATTTGCTGTCGAGCATCGTACTCTTTCTTTCCGCACCAACGTCGGGCGTCCAAATTCACATTCTTGCCCCCAAGGGGGAGGAGGGGGGGCCATTTCGTATCATGTAGGGTATACGGATAAGACCTGGTGGTGGATATTTTGTTTTACCATCCCCTCCCCCGCCAGATTTTATGTTGAGGTCGCCAGAGGGTGCCTTTGACCAGTCGGAATGGCCGCCTGCACCGCTCCGAAGTGTCAGCCCTCGGGCCCTACCCGGCCTGCCAGACGGCCCGGAGGTCCAACCCGAATTGTCCGCCCTCCGCGGGCCAATCTTCTAGGCTCGCTACAGTCAACCCGCAGAGTAAGGATGGGCAACCTTCCCAAGGGTACCCTTGCATCCTTGCCTCCTCGGTCCATCCTTGGCCACTTTCGTCGGCCGAGGCCCGCTCGAGAAGCCTAGAAATGGGTGTCCACGGCCCTTGCATCCTCATCGCGCATCCTTCTGACACGGGCCGACTGTATTATGGGGTCCACGGGGCCAGTGAAACGATTTCTTCTACGGTTCTACGTCCCCCTCAAACCTTCTCTGGACTGCTTACATTCATTGGGGGATGGGCTGCCGTGCGCCGCCGCCGCTCGAGACCGCGCACTGCGCGAGAGTGCGTGGCGCGTCGACGTCGCGGCGACGCCTCGGGGGCAACGCCAGGGGGGGGAGATACGGTAGAAGGAAACAATGACTGAACACTCCCCCTCCGCCCCAAACTCAAAGTTGGCATGCGCGGGGGAAACCGCGGTCGAAGTGCAGCTCATCAGACCCACCTCCAACTCTGAATATTTGGGGGAGGGGGAGGCGTTGACAGAGAAGTGTGGTATGAAGCGTTGAGTGTTTGGGGGAGGGGAAGGGGGAGGCGTTGAGTGTTCGCTGTTTTCCCGAGGCCTGTGTGCAGGCCGAAGAAGGGATGGATCGACACCCCGTCGCCCCCTCAGCGCCGACCGGGGCCCGACAGCGCGCCCCGCCCGGGAACGCGCGGATTCGCTTGCGGAGGCCTGTCGCCGAGTCCAGGTCGATGCTTCCCCCCCTGAGCTTAAGTCGGGCGTGTCCCTGCACAGGAGGAAGATTCCAACATAATCCCCCAAAAAAAAAGTCTGGGGACGATTTCTCTGCTGTTCTTTTGCATGTTTTAACATTTGTCGATGATTTGTTGTCCTACAAAATCCGCCTGTAGGAGGACAGGCCCGACCTAATCCTGAGCTGGTCCCTCCCTAGCGTTGCCCGCCGCCCGCCGCCGCCGCCGCCGCCTCTCCAGTCGGGAGCAAAGCACGGACGCACGCACACGTGGACGCCAGATCGACGTTCGAGATCTTGCGCTGCCGATGCGCTACCCCAGCACCAATGGGGATCGTGCACCACCAGAGGAGGAGCCGCGAAGAGACGAGTCCTGGGAGCGCCCCCCCTGAATTTCCGTGCTGGCATGTCTGCCTCGGGAAGCGGGCGCTGAGGTGGCAGCCGCGCACTGGGTGAAACTGCTACCATCGCGGCGTCCTCGCGCACCACGTTGCGCGACGAGTGCGGGCGGGCGGTAAACGATTGCCCCGCGCCGCTCGCGGCGTCCTGCTGCGCAACGGCGGGAACCGGCCCGCGGCGCAGACTGCGCCCGGACCGGCGCCGTGCCAACGGACGGCAGCCGCAGGCGCCGCAGGGCAACGTGAGCCTCCGCGATGCCCAGAGCCTGACGTGGCACCCTGCTGGCGACCGGCAGACACTCGGCCTCGCGGGGTCGAGACATTTAATCGCTTCGCTCATTCCGCCGGCCCTGGAGCGCTATTTGGGGCCTCTTGGGGCCGTCTTGGGGGCTTCTTGGGAGCGTCTTGGGGCTCCTTGGCGGCGTATTGGGCCCGGGGCCCCTTGGGGCGGGAGGGGGGGTAGTCGATTGCAGCCCCCCCCCTCGGAGGCCACGTTCCTCGTGAGGGGTGGCGCAAAATAGCCTCCCCCCTGGGGATCGCCCAGGGACCAGACGGGGATCGGCCGGGGGTACTTTTCGTCCGGGGCCCCCCAGGGGCCGCCCCGCGCGCGCGAACTAGAAATATTGTTAAGTAGTGACCAGAGATCTTAGCACGCCTCTGGCCCGTTGGGCCGGCGAATTCTGAACCTTAACCTGGTGGCACACCAGCGCCGAAGAAACCAGGCAGGGCCGCCTGCGGACCGCCGCCGGCACAGTGTGCACCAGCAGCGATTGTCCCATGTCCTCCATGAGCCAAGCAAGCATCTGCATCTGTAGATCGCCCATTCGCCGAAAAGCTCCGCGTTCCCGACGGCCGCTGGATGGCCGAGTCATGACTTGATAACCAGGGCATGTTCTAGTCGTGGAAAATCACGACGGGAGGGTATTTGCAGTCTTCGGCTTCTTGGGACCTTCGCTTGGCCCCAGGGCCAGCAAAACACAGTTCGGGTCCCGAACCGTCATAGCAGCAGTGCCGCCAGAGCAGCTCCTGGCGTCGCGGCAAATTGCTTGCCGAGGCAAGCGCGGCGCGCAATTTGATTTGAAATCAGCCTTCAAACTGCCTCGCGCGGACAGCAGTGCTCCCTTAAGATGCAGACCCCCCCAGGACTTACAAGTTCGGGATGAGAAACCGACCCAGGGTCCGGTCTTCGGCGGACAGCACATTGAAAAAAAGAGTACATCGAGTGTTCGGGGAAGCAAAGACGCGCAACCCTAATGGATTCACTTGAGCTTCCAGGGGGGCGCATCGCGCGAGCGTCGGGGTCGCGTCGACGCGGTAGCGACCTCGGCGCGGGCGTTCCAAGGTTGAGCGCCGCCAGCGGCTCAAAATTGGCCGATGTGGAACGGCCAGGGCTAACGGAAAACTCCGCCAACGCTGAAGGTCGGACGATTCACGTGGTGTCAGAAACCGGAACGGAGGTCGTCGACGCGAGCGGTCGTGACACGTGGGCTCGAGTGGGGGATCGACTACAGAAGTGATTCGCCCCAGGATTTATTTGCTCGTCGAATCTACGAGAAATGCGTCGAATGCTCCGTAGATCTACTGAAAGCTCTACGTTTTTTGTTTGGAAACCCGACGGAAATTTTAGTTTTGGGGTAGACCAATGCTGTTCGCGAACTGGGGAGTTTGCACCGCTGCGCCAGCATTCTGAAAAGGCTCATCTTGCCCAGCGTGCCCCCACCGCAGTCACCTTACCCGCGACTCCCGGTTCCCCTACCCGCGCCCAGGTGCAAGTTCGCTCTTTGGCAGCCCCGCCCAGCTATTTCGACGCGTGCGAACGCCAGGCCCGCGGAGGAATTCTAGACGCTTCGCGTAACGTCACCAGGCCATCCAGAAACGATGCCCAGAGGAAGTGCCTCGATCAGGGAAGTGGGCAGCACACAGAGGAAGGGTCCCCCAGTGGAGGCCTCTTGGAGCGTCTTGGGGTCTTCTTGGCGGCCCCGGACGCCTCTCAGAGCGTCTTGGGTGCCTCGGAGAGTTTCTTGGGGCCTCTTGGGGTTTTCTTGGGGGCCTCTTGGAGGCCTCCTGGGGCGCCTGCTGGGGCCTCCTGGGGCCTCCTGGGCGCCTCTCGGGGCCCTCTTGAAACGTTTTTGGGAGCCGTGGGAGCGCTCTTGGAACCCCCTTTGGGCCATATTGGAGTCATCTTGAAGCTTCGGATGGCCATCGGAAGCGAAAAGGCGAGAAAGCCTAAAACATCGATTGTCCTGAGGTTTGGGAATGATTTTGCCCCCCCCCCCCCCCTCCCCCCAGGAGGCCAAAATGGAACCCAAACCCGAGTAAAACTAATGTTTGTGGCTTCCTCGCCGAGGCCGTTTTGGACGCCCCAACGCGTCGGGGAACCCCCCGTTCAGGTCCAGGGGAGGGGGTCGGGGGAGGGGTCAAGGCACCCTCCCCGCCCGCACGCCGTCCCACCCGCCCTCCCCACACATACGTAGTACCCGAGCCTGGCCTGAGCCGCAGCGTATTCAGCAGTCGTCTTTGGATGGGCAGCTACTGGGGGCGAATCCGCCACCGCCGCCTCCGCCGCCGCCGCCCGCCGCCGCGCCGCCGCCGCGCCGCCGATGTCCGCCGCCGCCGCCGCCGCCACCGCGCCGCACGCCGCCGCCGCCGCTACCACCGCCGCCGCCGCCGCCGCCCCCGCCGCCGCCGCCGCCGCCACCGCCGCCGCCGCCGCAGCCGTTGCGCCCACCGTAGCCGCCGCAGCCGCCGCCGCCGCCAAGTAGGGGGAGGGGTAAACCCATCCCCGGGGGAAGTAGGAGGGGCAACAGAGGAAACACTCTAGACCACCTACGCCCAAAGGGCTGGTCGGATTATTCACTGCGTGGAGCTCCCTATATGTGCATCTACTTGCATGGGCCTGTCCGCCGTGAGCGTCTAGGCGCAAGGGTTTTCGAACATAAACGGGCTTGAGGTATAAACGGGTTTTCGTATGGCTGAGTGTGAGTGCCAGTTAGCCTAGGTATGAGCGGGTCTGAGTACGAGTGGGTCTGAGAATGCGTAAGCCAGAGTATGAGTAAGTCTGAGTGAGAGAGAGAGCCTGGTTGTGGGTAATACTGGGCGTGAGTGGGCTTGGCAATGAGTATAATAAATACGAGTCTGAGTGTGACTGGGTCTGAGGACGAGCGAATCTGACTACGAGTGGATATGAGGGTGGATGGGTCTGAATGTGAGTGATTATGATTGTAAGTAAGTCTGAATGTCAGTGAAACTGAGTATATGAGTATGATGAATACGAGTCTGCGTCTGAGCGGGTCTGAGTACGAGTGAGTCTGACTACGAGTGCGTCTGAATGGGGCTAAGTGTGAGTGAGTCTGCATGTTCGTAAATATGAGTGAGAGTGAGTCTAAGTATGAGTAATTATGATGAGTACGAGTTTGAGTATGAGTGGGGCTGAGCACGATTGAGTTTGATAATAAGTGAGTCTGAGACATCTTCACAATCTGAGCCCCCTGGGGTGCGAAATCCAGCGCCTCGCCCGAGACATTCCCAGAAGCTGCCCTGTGCGCGGACGACTCTGGCTAGCAAACAAGGCAAACGTGGTCGGGTTTTGACTCACGGAAGCACATAGGGCCCGTTGGTCAATTAAGTGAAGGTGTTCTTTGACAGCGCTCGCGCTTGCCATATGTGACGATGTGCATTGGGTCAGTTGGTCTCTCCCCGTCCAATCAGTCGTTCGCCATTTTCCCCGTGGCGTTCTGCCGTCCCCCCCACCGCAGCTCTGTCCCCTCAAGGCTACATGCCCGCTCCCCTCGCCAACACTGGCCACATCGTCCAGCCAAAGGACTCACCAGAGTCATTTCACCATAGACTCCAGACGGCAGCAGGACGGTGGCGGCGGCGAGGAGTCATTCGTTTCGCTAGAGGGTTCTAATCGGGGTAAAGCGGACAACAGAAGAGTCCCAACAGGGGGGGACGGGTAGCCCGGGACCACTTCTCGAGATCGCCTCGTCCGGTGGCCGTTTCGCCTGAGAGTTCCATGCGATGTGTTCAACATACCGCGTGCCCGCGCTCCCATGCCGGCCACATGCGTCGGTCCGGACGGCCACGATCCCTCGAGTGGCACACGGTTGTGCTCGCACCCCCGTCCCGCGCCCAGAAAGGCACGTTTTCGCCAGCCGACTTCCTCCTCGGCCCGCCGCCTCGCCCTCGCTGCGCTTGGGGTGCTCTGTTGGGGGTGAGCCTGCCGTGCTTTTTCCTGCCTCCCCACCCGCCCCTGCCAGGACGAGGCCCTGCGAGGCGGCGGGCTGGGGGGGGCGCGCGGCCCGCGCCCTCCCTCCCCGCCGCGCCGGGCAGAGCCTGCGGCACTGCCCGCCTGGCTGCGGGGCGTCAGGGGACGGGGGGCAAGGCAAACGGGGTCCGTCGGAGTGCCGGTGCTTGCAGGATCCCGCAGAGCCAGGGGTGCACTGACCCGGGCTTGGGTGCAGGATCCTGCAGGAGCTTGCAGGGCTCAAGGGACGGGGGGCAAGGCAGACGGGGTCAGTCGGAGTGCCGGGGTTCGCAGGATTCTGCAGAGCCAGGGGCGCGCAGGCCCCGGAGCTTGGGTGCAGGATCCTGCAGGAGTCTGCAGGGTCCTGCAAGGCCTGGCTGGCCCGGGTCTGGATTCACCCAGGCCAGCAGATCCCCGACCAATCTTGCGACATTGCACGTCTGGCTGCTCCCTGCAATCGTGTTGTTAATCCCGATTGTTGCACGTTTGACGAACCTTGGCATTGCTCGGACGTGTGCATTCGTTCGGAGAGGCCGGCGCCAGAAACGCTGGAGAATCTTCGAGCTTGCCGGGCAATTCTGACAAGCAGGACACGAGACCGAACCATGCACGGGGAGTGGGCGTCCGAGCGATGGGTTAGTCTTTGCAATCGTGTTGCCTCTCTCGACTGCCCGTTTGACTGATGCTCCTGGTTTCTCCCACCCGACAGGTCAGGGCTGTCAGTTTCACAGAGGGGGAGAGAGAGGAGCTCCCCACCCGCTCACCCGCGGGCACACACCGAGTACTGCGGACGGCGGGCCCAACGTGTGCCCCGGGTAACCCACCTCGCGCCTGGCGGCTGCGTGCCGCGGCCGCCAGGTCCAAAGTGCGCCGGCGGTCCTTGGACAGGTATAAAAAACGTCCACGGCGAATCACCACCTCTCCTTGCCTTGTGGAAGCGCCAAGGTGGCCGAACCTTGCGTTTTGTGGCTTTCTTGGGGCACTCTTTGGGCCTCCTGGGAGCTTCCTGGGGGCCTCGTGGAAGCCTCCGGGGAGCTTCAACGGGCCTCTTGGGGGCCTGTGAAGACTCCCTGGGGAGGGCGGCGTCAATGGCCCGTCTGACGCCGTCGGATGCCGTCTTGGGGGCCTCTCTGGGCCGACGTGGGGCCGAGCGGTCTTGGCCAAGCATGTTCTAAGAACATGTTTCCTGGAAGCCACAAGAGATTCTCAGGACAGTCTTCGGTGGACAGATGGGCAAGCCATGACGCGTCGCCTCTGCCTGACTGCTGACCTTCGTGCCCACCGGACCTGCTCCCTCGGAGGTCTGGACTCTTCAGCCCGAGCCGTGCTCTGGGCGGCCCTGTGGCCCAGTGGAGGGCCCCCAGGCCGGGAACTGCCCGAGACCTCTCGGGGGCGGCCTGACCGATCTCTGGCAGACCATCTTGTTCCGTGGCATCCCCCCTCGCCTCGCCCCAAGACGCATGTCGGCGGCGAGCGAGGGGGGGAGTGAGAAGGAGAAGGCCTTCTCAGAAGGCGGCGGGACCTCTTAGAAGCCCTCGCTCCTTCTGAGAGGCTGTTTGTGCCTTCGAGGAAGGCTTGGAAAACGTTTCAGCAGGCCAGGGGACTTCCGAGCCTTCTGAGAAGGGCTTCTCCTTCTCCCCCCCTCGCTCGCCGCCAAGTATGTATGTGTGTGCGGCCGGAGGGAAGCTCGAAAGGCGAGGGTGACGCCACGGAAGGGGCTGCTTCGCCAGGGGTCGGTGAGGCCGCGCCCGAAATCTCGCGCCGTAAGAGAGGAACGATGGGGTACCAAAGCAGTTGCATGGCTTCGGCCCCGCCGGCGGGCTTCTGCCGATGACAACTTGGCGCCGCCCAGCGCGGGGAGGCGCCCGGAAAACCAAGGCGGATTTGGTAACGCGCCCTTGGCGATCCTCGTGGGCGTTCGATGTAAGTGGCCCAGGGGGCCAGCAAGCTCGCTCCAGTGTCCCACAAGCTGGGCAGCTGTGGCGTCTAGGCGCCGAGCTCCTTGGCCGACCAAGCGACATGCGTTCGTCGGCGGCCAAGAGGGGGGTAATGATTAGAGGGGGCCCGATGTCATGGCCGGGGCCACGATATCATATCTCTCTAGATGGCATGGCATCTCTTCTTATTCCCAACCATTATGTGGGCTTGGGTCGTCGTTTTGAAGAGACAGCGCCCCGCGTCCACTCACTCACTCCTCGTCCCCCTCCCTCCTCCCATATCTGCCTCTGCTCTCCGCATGTCCAATTTCTGCACATTCTATGACACGTTTCGTGGCCCCCCATAGGGAGCCCCACTGAAGGCACCAGCGGCAGGGTCCGCATGCGTCCCCCGCCCACTTCCGGCGCACCCCTCATGAGGATCGTTGCCCCATAATTAGGGAGCTCCGCCGAAGGCCCCAGCGGCAGGGTCCGCATGCGTCCCCCCGCCCAATTCCGGCACGCGCCTCACAAGGAGCGTGGTCGCATAGGGAGCCCCACCGAAGGCCCCAGTGGCATGGTCCGCATGCTTCCCCCCGTCAAATTCGGGCACGCCCCTCACGAGGAGCGTGGCCCCATAGGAAGCTTCACCGAAGGCCCCAGTGGCATCGTCCGCATGGGTCCCCCCGCCCAGGGGTACCCACAACGCAGTACTCACAAGTGCATATGGTTGGGCCTTTCGCATGCGCCCCCCGACCCCCCCCCCGGGCTCGCGCACATGCCGCCGGCCATGAGTGCGCCCCGCCCCCTCTTGGACGCCCCCCTCTTGGACGCCTCCGAGGTGTATACACCGAGCCGAGATCCTTGGCCAACCCAACGACGTGTCCAAGGAGGAGGAAGAGGAAGAGGAGGAGGATGAGGAGGACATGGAGGAGAGCTCCTCTTCCTCCTCTTCCTCCCCCATTCCTTTTTCCTTATACATAACTTGTCCCTGTCGCACCCCGAGGCCAGTTTTTAGGGCGGTCCGGACGTTTCGCTTGAGACGTCCTCACCAAGTATGACTCTGAAGCTTACAAATAGGGCGGGTCGTTTTCAAAATTTACCCCTCACCGTAGCGCGGCCCACATTGATTTAAAACTACCCTGTGACGTACCCAACCCAGTTGCATCAAATGGCAGGAGGAGGTGGCCCAAACTTGCCAGGACAATGACAGTGCAGGCGCCGTTATATGTTGTGCAAGCTACATGGGATGCGGTCGCGTGGCGCGATTCACAGGACAATAACAGAAGGACAAGGAGTGAGCGCCCAGGCTTGAGGACGACACGGGGGCGGGAACGAAGGGCTGAAAAACGACGCGTGGGGGGGGGGCACCCGTCAGCGCGGCAGCAGCAAAGGGAACGTGGCAGGGCGCAGAGGACGACGACGAAGGTGACGGGAGGAGACCGAAGAGTGTTGCCTTTGTCGGTAGTGCGCTAGAGATGCAGCGCTGCCTGCACCATGTCGCCACGGCGCGCGACAAAATGACTACAGCTGATCATAATTAGTGCACGGAACGAGCGAGGCCTAGCTCGCCCGCCAGCTTCTCTGCTTCTTTCCCGCACTCTTCACTGCGGCAGCTGAACGCTCGAAGGCGCGCCGCCAGGTCTGCGGGCGGTCCGCGACGGCGCCCCGCTGGATCCCTTCGCAGCCCTCGAAAGCAATGACAGTTCCGCAGGTCGTAGTCCCCCAGGGACGGTGAAGTGTTATCTGAGTCCGGGTGGTGCCTCACCCCGCTGAACCCCCCAGCATCCCTCGAAAGTGGCGACAGTTTCGCAGATCGCAGCCCCCCAGGGATGGCGAGGTCGAATCGGAATGTGGCTGGTGCCTCATTTCACTGACCCCCCCAGCAGTCTTCGAAAGTGGTGACAGTTTCGCGGATCGCAGCCCCCCAAGGATGGCGAGGTCCAGTCTGAGTTTGGGTGGTGCTTCATCCCGGCGGAACCCCCAACAGCCCTCGAAAGCAGTGACCGTTTCGCAGATCGAAGCTCCCCAGGGATGGCGAGGTCTTATCTGAGTCTGGGTGATGTTCCACTCCGCTGGGCCTCCTGGCAGACCTCGAAAGTAGCGACAGTTTCGCAGATCGCAACCCCCTGGAACGGCAAGGTTGAATCTGAGCCTGCGGCGGCTATGCTGGTCCCCCCGGCAGCCCTCGAGAGCGGCGACCGTTTCGCAAGATCGCAGCCCCCCATTGTCTCGCACACCGCAGCCCCCCAGGTCTAATCTGAGCCTACGTTGGTCCCATCAGCAAACCCCAAAAGAAAGTTGCGACTGATTCGCGCCCCCCCTTGGAATGGCGAGATCCAATCTGAGTCCGCGGCGGGTACCCACGACGTTGCCCCCCCAGTAAAGCTCGGAATTGACGACATTTCCGAAAACCGCAGCCCCCCAGGGATGACGAGGTCTAGTTTGAGTCTGCGGCGGGTACCGACTACGTCGGTCACCCCAAGAGCCCTCGAGACCAGCGACCGTTTCGCAAGACCGCACAGCCCCAGGGATGGCGAGGTTGAGTCTGGGTTTGCGGCGGGAACCACCGATGCCCCCAGCAGCCTTCGAACATGGCGACTGGTTCGCAGGTCGCAGCCCCCCAGGGATGGCGAAGTCTAATCTGAGCCTGCGGCGGGTACCCACCACGCTGGTCCCCAGCAGCCCTCGAGAGCGGAGACCGTCTCGCAGATCGCAGCCCCCCCGGAATGGCGAGATCTAATCTGAGTCTGCGGCGGGTGCCTACTAAATTGGTCCCCCAGCAGACCTCGAAAATGGCGACCGATTCGCAGATCGCTGCCCCCCCAAGGATGACACGTGTAATATGAGCCTTGCGGCGGGTACTCACGATGCTGGTCCCTCCAGTGGCCTTCGAAAGTGGCGATAGTTTCGCTGATCGCAGCTCTCAAGACATGCCATCTTCACATTTTGCAGGCCCCACAGGCAAGCCACCAGGCGCACAGGAGATGAGAGGAGAAGAGGGGCGGGGAGGAGGAAGAAAGAAGAGGAAGACGGAGACCGCAGTGCTCTATTCCAAACGAGAACCCAGCACAGGAGGGTTGGGAAACACTGCAAGGGTTTCACGGAATGATGGCGAATCGTTATCAACATGTGGTTCTCGCTTTAGCGCCGTGTACATTCGTTTTTTAATGCAAGGGCTACACGGGTTGAGGGATTATCTTGTTCAACATGTGGTTCTCCCTTCAGCGCCGCGCGCATTCGTGTATAACATTTGCAAGAGTTCCACGGATCCCCATCATCAGCGCACGCAAACTGTGTTTTGGAAGGATTCAGGGTTATGCTGGCGCAATATGTATTCGCAGTGTTGAAGTCCGGGAATGGCGTTTTGGTACGATTCAGGATCGTCAAAACGCAACAGCCAAGTTGATCCGTGTCGTTGGAATCCCAAGGCATATGTTGTTTTTGCATGCTTCAGGGTCTTCAAATGGTTGTCTTCCAACGAGGCAGTTCCCTCAATGGAAATGAACCGCTGTATGGGGCCTATGAAGAGGGAGCTTGAAGGGAGGTATCATTCCAACATCGTTGGTGATTCTTGGGGCTACCCTGGCCCTCTTCCTTCCCGCCCTCCTCCTCCACATCCTTCTCCTACTTCGAGCCCCTCCCACATCCGACCCGAGGCACGGGGAGGCGGGGGCCCGCCTGCGCTTGCTGCGTTGCTCCCCTCCTCGCCCCAGAGGCAAAGACGCCTGGTGGCTGGCGCTGGAGGCCGCCGGCGGGGCGCTCGAGGCGCGACCGCCCGAGGAGGAGGAGGAGGAGGAGGAGGAGGAGGATAAGGATCGTCTCCAATGTGGAGTGCCTCGCTGGCCCCCCGGCGTAAGCCGCCGCGTAAGGTCGCCACGTCATCTCGCGTGAGGCCCGTTTCTGATCGCCGCTCACCGGGGGGGACCGAACAGGGGGGGCGGGCTCACGGGCGAGGCATAGACCCCCAACCGTTCCTTCCTCGCCGATGAGGGCCTGGGTGCACGTCCCTGCGCGGGGACGTGCGGTGTCGATGCTGGGTTGATGTCTCCCCTCTTGGGCCTGCCCCTTCTGTTTCGTCCCCCCTCAGTGGAGGGCTTTTGGCAAAGGCCCTTCCTGCTGCTCATACTCCTGCGTCTAAGGGCAATCGTTCTCGCGTGTGTGTTCTGCTGTTTCTCGTCCTCGTTCTCTTCTTCTCACTTCCTGCTCCTGATGATGTTCATGCTCACTCCTCATCCTGCTCCTGTTCCTCATCCTGCTCCTGCTGATCCTGCTCGAGAGGGCGTGATTTTCGATGGTCGGATCAGGTATGGTGTTTGGGGCCAGGGTGGACTTCGGGATGTGTCAGGGGAGCGATTTTGAGCAGATCGTGGCCGTGGATGAGGACGAAAGGGGGGATAGGGGAGGTGAGGGCTAGGAGAGGAAGAGGAGGACCGGCGTATCTCATTGTCATTGTCTGTTTAGGGTCAGCTATTGATTGTTGCTGCTGCTTGATCCTTATTCAAGACGACTTGCGTCGACCGTATCAACATATCGAGAGTGATGGGAGCAGCCAAAACCACGGGGCCGTGCACTCCTTGTTGGGGATGGCTGCAGGCTTTGAAGTAGTTTGAAGCGGCGACTTGTTTTGTTGCTGGCAGGTCGAGCGGGCGAGGAGGATGCGAGAAGAGGTCTTACTCTGGGGCTTAACACTGGCTTGCCACACGCTTTGCCTCCAGGCTTGGGGGCGATAGACATCAAGGTGGGCATACTCTGGGCACTGCATTATATTAATTTAAAGCGTAAATAAAAAATGAAATACTGAAACAACAACAACAACAACAACAACAACAACAACAACAACAACAACATCAACAACAACAACAACAACCATTTTAAGGCTGTACGCTCTTACGTGCCCGCGAGTCATTCAACACGTATACCCTACACCCTCGATACCCGCCCTCTTCGTCTTCGATCACACCCTTTTCGGGGGGATTATTTCTCTTTGCTGGGGCCGGCGGGCTTAGACGTACGGGCAAACCGGAACGGGCGGACAATCCTTCGGGGGCGTACATCTCTCTGCCCGCCATTGGAATTGGCGCGGGCCCTGCAAGAGGAGGAGGGGAAGAACGAGGGAGAGTGGGAGGAAGGGGAGGGGGAAGGACGAAGGAAGAGGGAAGATACCACGTTGTGAAGGCGTCCTTGGCGCGTGCGTGGTTCCTGAGCGCCGAAACGCAATTCCAGAATAATTTGTGAGGACGTCGCACGCGAGAGCGCAGTCCTGAGTACATTGTGAGGAAATCTCAGGCGGAAGCGGGGGCCCTGACTAAGTTGCGAGGAAGTCTCAAGCGGGAGCGCCGTTCCTGAGCAAATTGCACGGAAGTCTCAGGCGGGAGCGGGGGTCCTCACTAAATTGCGAGGAATTCTCAGGCGGGAGCGCCGTTCCTGAGTCAATTGCGCGGAAATGTCAGGCAGGAGCGGGGGTCCTGAGTAAAATTCGAAGAAGTCTCAGGCGGGAGCGCCGTTCCCACGTAAATTGCACGGAAGTCTCAGGCGGGAGCGGGGGTCTTGATTACATTGCGAGGAAGTCTCAGACGGGAGCGCCTTTCCTGAGTAAATTGCGCGGAAGTCTCAGGCGGGAGCGGGGGTCCTGAGTAAAAATCGAGGAAGTCTCAGGCGGGAGCCGTTGTTGTTGTAGCCCGGGGGGCAGGGGCACAGTTTGAGCAGGAAGACTTTCCTTGAGAAAAAACCAGGTGCGAGCCCCGGGGGTGGCACTTCAATCGAAAAAAATCAATGTGCACCGGTGGGGGGGGATCAACAATAATTATTCTTCAAGAATGAGAGTTCAACAACATTATGATGAAGGCCTTGTCGGCGTGGTGGGTGCCACTTCGGCCTGCAAGGACCCTCCTTTCTTCTGCGCGGCCGCTTTGGCCACACGGTCATCAACATCGTTCCCGAGGGCCAACAACTTGTCACGCGAGCCTTCTGGGAAGCTACTTACATCCTGGTGCGCTTCTACGTGACAGATGGTGGGGAGGGTACCTCCAGCATTTCACCTCTAGCACACAGCTCCAGCCCTGAGTAAAGATTCGTCCTGTCAAAGCCTACTTGAGCATACTTACGTGTGGCTCCCGCATGGTCAGAGTGGAGGTGTCTTAGGCGAGGGCACATATGACCAACGGCAAGCGCCACGTGCTCCGCGGCACTCGACGTGGGTGGGAGCAGACCTACAGTCTGCCCTGAGAGACGAGCAGCACACTCGCTTTGGTCACCAATTGCTGCCACCGCCCAGCCTGTCTGAATCCACTGTCAAAGACCGTGCTCGAAACATAAGCCGTCCACAAAGCCTTATCCTTCCATGGCCACTTCCAGGGGAATCACTGTTCCAAAAATCTTAGGAAGGGCCAGCCCTTTCGGGCCTGCCACGAACAGCTTCTTCTGGCTGCGTTTGAAAACCGTGGGTTAGGGGAGTTTGTCTGGGGTACCCTCTCAAATATTCTATGCCAGAGGCCTCTAGGTGCTCACTTTTCAGGTTCTCGACGAGCTGGCAGTGGAAGCGGCGCTGCGTCTCGTCAGGGGAGTTCCCACATTAACATTCCAGGTCGACTTCATACCCTGCGGCTGCCAAACGGTTGCTGGTCCACAGACATCGGGTAAGGCATGCCAACAAACAACCCCGCTGGTGCCTGGTCAGAGGTGGGGTCCGCTGATATTGTCGTGGCTGCCGGCACGTTGAGGCGCTCGTTTTGTCCCTCCGATCCTGCGCGGGCCGAGCAACTCGGCCCCTGAGGGCCCGCTATACGATGTCCATCTCCTGAGAGGGTTGTTCAATATCGGCTTGACCGAGGGGAACGAACAGCGACACAAACATACAAACTTGGAGGTCTGCGCGGATTTCTCGGATCGGCGCTGGGGCCCCCTGGCGGCGCCTCCGGTGCTGACCCTGGCGCGCTCCGCGCGCCAGAGAGGGGGGTCAAGCGCGGATCCAAGAAAACCGCGCGGACCTCCGAGTTTTTATGTTTATGAGATTGTTCGTTCCCCTATGATTATAGTCTGGAGTTCGACGTGGTTGCTAGAAGGGCAGGCTGGGTAGATAGATGAAGGGCCCGACGGCGGCTTTCCAGGAGGGGTCTCCGAGCAGGCATAGGTTGAGGACTCTGGCTCTCGTGCAACTTCGGGGCCCCACTGTTCTGAAGTGTATATAAATATATAGATGCATATGTATATACACATGTATATATAGTATGGTGTTGCATCAGCTCCTGGTTCGTGAGCCCTTCCACCTCGCTGCCGTAGTGGTCGGCCTGATCCAAGCCTGTCTTGTACAGTTTTCTCATATCCGCGCCAGCTTTCTTGAGGGACTGGAGCCTCTTCATACGCAACATGCCTTTGTTAAACGCTGCCGTAGGACTGCACGGTCTTCGCAACTGCGAATTCAACCACTTGCCGTGAAATCGATACCTAGATTCGCTCGTGCATCATGCTGCCGGGGTCCCGCATACTTACCAAGAGCTTTTCTTATGAGGGGGTCCCTGATTTTAGTAGACGAGGCGAGGGCGTCAGATTTGTGGATGGCTATCTCGCCGTCGAGGTCGTTTTCGATCGTACGTCGCATGCTGTCTGAGACTGATATGAGGGTATTGCTGGGGCTCCTGGGGCAACTGTCCTGGACCTGGAGGAGGATGTCATCTATGAAGATGTGGAGGCTGGTGAGGGGGTGGTCCTGGACCCAGACATCGAACGGCAAGATGCAATACATCTGGATGGAATAGGTGGCGAAACCACAGCCTGCTGGTACTCCGGACTGCGGGCTGCCCACAAAGATTGCCTGCCCTCGGTTCGCCACCAGCCGAGGCGCGCCGTAATGGTTGGGGATCTAGGTCGCCACTGCCTGATTGAACCCAGTGCCCACTGTTCTAGAGAGCCATCTCTCTTTATTGCTGTGCTCGTAATAGTCTGAGCGGTCCCGAAGTACTCTTGCTGTGAAGCTGTTTGCCCCTGCACTGTGGGTTGCTTCTGCTTCCAAAGCCTGGGGAAAAAGATCTGTTTCCAGGATTCCCCCTTCAGCTTGGCGTGCTAGGTAGTGTTTTCCGCATTGAAAATTCAGTCGTCGAGCTACTACGAACAGTTTGAAGCAGGGCCCCTGGCTCATCCAGGGTGTCTCCAAGATCCTCCAGGGCAACCGTCGACTCAAAATCTATATCCTCTGGGTGGTCGAGGGCACGCTTCACATTTGTCAGCTAATTCTATCGCCAGCGCAGAGGACTCGCAAGATTTCGCCAGCCGCGCCTGTGAGCTCGTTCCGCGGCTCGTGCAGGCAGCCACTTCACCTGAGGTCCCTGGCCGAGCAGTCTGCTGCTGCGGATGGGCGTATCAGTGATAATACTTAGGTGTTTCGTTAAATCTCCAGCCAGGGTCTGGTAGGTCTGGCCCAGAGCGCCATCCAAGACGGAGTGCTCCAAACCTTGGTTCAAGGCAGCTTCTATATGGTCCAGGGCGGCCTCAGTTTTGATCCAGGGTTGGGTCTGAACCAGGGGGCCTATTGGGAGCTTGGTGGGCAACTTTGACCAAGACAGGAACCAACAAGAAACAGGAAGCAGGTGATGGTGAGGTCAAAATACACAGACCTGTAGGGGCCAAGGGGTTACTTTTTTAGGACCTTGGGCTGGGTGACATAGTCCTGGAAGCAATCCGAGACGAGGACGAAATCTATTGTGTTTTTGGCTTTCTTAATGCAGAGCGTGTGGATGAAGGGGAAGAGGGCCTGCACACTGGCTCTCGTGAAGTAGATGCTTTTTGTGAGTTTCCAGGGCGAGAGGTTAACATCAGCTGCAACAAGCAGGCACATGCGCTGCATCTGGCTGAGCTGCGCCAAGTTGGCCAGCAAGTTGATCCGTAGCCATTTGGGCTCAAGCCTTTTGTGCTCAAACCAGTTGGCAAAGATATTAACAACAAAATGCTGCAAAGCCTTACGCGGGATCCCAAAGCGCTTGTGCGGCAATGGCTCCGATCAGTCGTGTCGCTTCCTTCTTAGCGCTCGTTGTGGCGGTGAACGCGACGCCAACGCCGACGGCTTCGCCAGCAACCGCGCCGCCGACGGCCGCGCCGACGGCCACGGCCACGGCCACGGCCACAGCCACGGCCACGGCCACGGCCACGGCCACGGCCACGACAGCTGCGCCGACGCTGGTGCCTCCGACCCACGCGCCGACGCCAGCGCCGACTAGCGCCTTCACGTGTGATGACTGCGACTACGTCGCGAGCTTCGGGAAGCGCGACGTCGTCGGCGCCGCCTCGGCCATCGCGCGCGTCCTCGCCGCAGCGCGGGCCTGAGCGCGACCGATGCCGGAGGAGATCTGACGCACCAGGGGAGGGGGAAGGGGAAGAGAGGGACGGAAAGAGGGGTAGGAGCATTGGAAGACAACTTCGTTACCCAGTGGTCCCTGTTTCGGTGCTTTTCCTGCATCTCGCGGCCATCCCATTTCCAGCGCCATGAAAACTCCATGGCTGGACACGCTTCTTGCGACTAATACCTTGTCTGTCCTAATCAACTCAGTCAGACGTGTCTGGGCCTGCGACTCGTCAAAGACGGGCACGCAAGTCTACAGATGGGTCGTTGCGGCAGGCCCGTGCACGGACTTCTCGCCGCAGGGCTCCCAGGACCTTCGCGCATTTTGGGGGGCGCGCGCCCGTAGGGTGCTGCGCGGGCACAAATCGCAGGTCGGCCGACGGGCCCTGCGGCGCCGCGGCGCGCGCGACGCGCGCCGCATGCAGCCCGACCGCAGCGCGCGCCGCCCGCGGTCGCGTCTTTGCGCTTCTGCGTTGTTTCGCGCGGGCCTGCCGCGGTCGCTCGCGCAGGCGCGCCGCGGGGATCGCGCGCTGGGCGGATCGCGGCGCGCCTTGGCGATGCTCGCTCCGCGCGCAGGTTGGACGCCGCGCTGGGTGCGCCGGGCGTCTTCCGCTCCGCGCCCGCGCGCGCCGCACTGGGAGTGCGGCCCCTTCTTTCCCCCCTCCCTCCTCTCGCGCCCGCCCCCCCCCTCCCCCCCCCCCTCCCTCCGCCCTTCGCCCCCCCCCCCCCCTCCTCCCCCGCGCCCCCCCTGGTCGCGCGCCGCCACTGCAGCCAGCGCCGGTCGCGCGGCGTGGGGGGGGCGCTCCTGCTCGGCCGCGCGTCGCGGTTCCGATCGTTTGTCGCCTGGTGGCATGGTTGTGACACGCTTGGCGCTTGGTCTGCGCAGGGCGGGCGTGCCTGGCGATCTGGCCATCGCGCGCGCCGCCAGGCTCAGTCGCTCGTTTTTCGCGCGCAGGCAACGATGTGGAAGTTGATCTGTTTGCGAACGCACTGGTCGCGAACGGTTTCGAACACGTCGTTGACGCACGCGGCGCAGAGTGGGAGCGCGTAGCAGGTTTTGAGCGTTTCTCCGCAGACGCCCAAGCGCGCTTGCGCGAGATCGCGGCGGGAGTTCCGCGGCCGCCGAGCGGACCGCCTCCAGCGCCGCCCCGTGCGCTGAAACAACCGGCGCTCGCGCGCGGCGGCCCAGGCGCGCTCGCGCCGGGTGCCGCGTGCGACAGCGCGGCGAAGCGAGAGCTGGCGCGCGCTTACAGGGCCGTGCGCAGCGTGCAATTGTCACCCGTGCCCACGGGCGGCCCTCGCAAGTCCATCGCGAGCGGCGCTCGCGGGCCCCCGTCGCCAGTGGCCATGCAGGAGAGCCCGGCCCGCGCACGAGCTTTGGCAATCGTCGGCTCGGCGCCGCGTTCCTTCGGGCCCTGGAGGGCCGCGGCCCGGGCGCGGGTGGCTTTCGCGCAGCGTCGCCTCAACAAAGACGGCTGCAGCGCGCTGCCGCCGTCGGCCGACGAAGCGTGCTTGTTCGCGTTCGAATATCGCAACCCGCGCACCTTCGGCAATTACGTGGCACAGCTTAAGAAGGCATGCCAGTTGTTGGGCCGGGACGCGTCGGCCTTTTCGCATCCTTCGGTCAGGGGCGCCCGCAAGGCCATCGGGAAGCGGCGCCCCGTGAGGCGGCCGCTGAAGTGTTTCGTCCTGCTCTCGCACTTATCGGCTATGCTCGACTTTGTAAGTGCCGACAGCGCGATGTGCGCGCTCTTCTCGGTGTCCTGGGGGATCGCTCTGCGCGTGCCCTCCGAGGCCCTCTTGATTGAGCGAGGCAACCCATCGGCATTTAAGGACTTCGCCTTCTCTGACGAAGATCTGCGAAGGCCAGTCGCAAGAGTCGTCATCTTCTTTTCGGGCGATTCTGCAACGTTGCATTTCTCGCGGCGTAAGCACCGCGACGGCCCGAAGGTCGCGGTGCGGAATTGCTGGTGCAAACATTCGCGTGCGACTTGCATTGCACGCGGCGCGTAGTTTTTTTTCGAGGGCATTTGCGTCGGCTCGCCCGCGTTCCCGCATATGCGGCGAGTCGACGGCAGTGGCGTCGTCTCAATCGCCGTGCCCGTGCAGCGCGCGATCAAGGCGGCGGCGCGGCACGCCGGCGCACCAAGCGCGGCTTCTTTTACGAGCAAAGCGTTCCGCCGCGGGCACGCGGAGACTAGGCGGAGGTGCAACGGCCGCCTTTGTGAGATCTTCCGCGGTGCCGATTGGAGTTCCCGCGCTTTCAAAGAATACCTTGATATGCACCAGCACGAGGGCGATGCGACCGCCGAAGCAGCGGCCGCAGCCTCGTGCCCAAGCGCCGGCGCGGCGAGCAGACCAGGTTCTGCATCGGCGCCTGCGGGGTAAGTCGGCCAGGCTCACGATCGGCGCGCACTGCGACCTGCACCCGGGGTTCCATTAGGTCGCGGCAGGCCTGGCGCGCCCCGACCAGGCGAGCCCGGGCGCTTGCGGCGTTGGGTTCAACGCCCAGGCTCGCCTGGTCGGGGACTGCGCGCGTCACCGAAAGCACCCCCCACGCGGGGCGCTCGCGGGACGGCAGCCCTGGCTCGGTCGCCGCACCCATCGTTGGGGCGTTGGCGCCCGAGGTCGGGCACACAAGGAAGGTGCGCCGAGATTTGTGGGGGGCGCGCACCCGTAGGGTGCTGCGCGGGCACAAATCGCAGGTCGGCCGACGGGCCCTGCGGCGCCGCGGCGCGTGCGACGCGCGCCGCATGCAGCCCGACCGCAGCGCGCACCGCCCGCAGTCGCGTCTTTGCGCTTCTGCGTTGTTTCGCGCGGGCCTGCCGCGGTCGCTCGCGCAGGCGCGCCGCGGGGATCGCGCACTGGGCGGATCGCGGCGCGCCTTGGCGATGCTCGCTTCGCAGGTTGTCTATTATATTGATTTGGGCACCGCGCTCGCGCGGCGCTCGCGCGGCGCGGGCCCGTCGGCCGTTCTGCCCCACCCACCCGCTCCTGGGTGCGGGGCTGCCTCGGTCGTTGGCGGCCCCTTGTCCGCCTCTCCCGCCCGCCCTTGGGGTTCAACGCCCAGGCTGGCCTGGTCGGGGACTGTGCGCGTCACCGAAAGCACCCCCCACGCGGAGCGCTCGCGGGACGGCAGCCCTGGCTCGGTCGCCGCACCCATCGTTGGGGCGTTGGCGCCCGATGTCGGGTACACAAGGAAGGCACGCCGAGATTTGTGGGCCTGTCCCTTCAGGTACTCCTCGCCTTGACAGGCAGCGGCCGAATATCGGCCTCGCTGCCGGGACACAGCTTTGGCACGGCATTGCCCCTCGTGCGTCAGTCAGCCCCTCGCCGCCGGCGTCGCGGAGGGCTTGGCAAAGCTGCACAAGCGGGGCCAGACAAATTGTGTGTAGTTCGGGCCAACTGATGAATGATATCACCGCTACCGTTGGTCTCAAGCTCCCGCCCGCGCCACCCGGTTTTCAAGGTGCGGACTATGGCGCACAAGTGGCCAGAGTGTTGGCCCTGATGCGCCGATCGGCCTCTTCGGCGGAGGGCCCCTGGGCCCCTTGTGTCTCGAGCTGGACAACGGCCGAGAGGTCCTGGGCGAGCAGCTTTTGGCCCGCCTCCACCTTGTCCTTACTGTCGCTCTCGAAGAGTACGAGGAGAACAAGGAGGAGGAGAGGAAGACAAGCTGGGAGGGACAGGTCTGATATTCGCAGGGGCCCGCGCGCGCAACAGCGGGGAGGCCCGTGGCACGACGGGGCCGAGCGGAGCGACAGAGCCCCCCCCGCGCAGTCCGGCGGCGCCCTCCGCGGCGTGGAGCCCGGGCGGGCGCTGCTGCAGCCGCCCGTGGGCTACGCGGTGGAGGCTTGCGAGAGTCGGGCGTGGCCAGGACGAGGCGAAGTCCCCAGGGGAGGAGGAGGTACCCCTACCTAGGGGAACAGAAAGTGACATAAACATAAAAACTCGGAGGTCCGCGCGGATTTCTCGGATCGGCGTTGGACCCCCCTCCCTGGCGCGCGGAGCGCTTCAGGGGCCGCGCCGGAGGCGCCGCGGGGGGGCCCCAGCGCCGATCCGAGAAATCCGCGCGGACCTCCGAGTTTTTGTGTTTATGTCACGTTTCGTTCCCCTAGGAGAAGGTACCCCTACCGCTACCTTTCAGGCCTCCTGGGAGGCCCTCGTCGCCACCGCTGGATTCGCCCCGAAATCCTAGTGAGCACGCACCCCGGGAGAGGTCCGGGGAGCGGCGGTATCGGTACCTTGCCGTATCCCAAAATCCATTCCAGGGCGTTCTGCAGTGCGCTCGAAGCATTCCGGAACGCGGCGAGATGCTTTGAGAAGGCCGCGGCGCCCGAGACATCCTCCAGAGCCGCGGGATCTCAGAGATTCTCGATGTATTCTCGCCCGATTTTAGCCTCGTCTTGGAGACGCTCTGACAGGGCCGCGGCGAAAAGGGGGGAGGTCCCAGATGTGCCTCCCCCCCATGGGGCCATCAACATCGCCTCTTGGGGTGCTCTTGGGCCCCTTTGGGGCGCTCTTGGGCGGTCTTGGTCTTGGGCCCCTCCTGGGCCTCTCCTGGGCCATCTTGAGGCTTCAAAAGCGTATCTGTACCGAAACGGCAAGAAGATAAACATCATTGTTTTCCTTTTGGTTGCTGAAGGATTTCGGTATGGGGTGTCCTGAGGGGGCTCCGAGAGCACTTGGAAGCGTCGTGTGGCCCTCGTCGGGCCTCCTGGAGGTAATTATGTGGGAAGCTATCCGTAAGGGCTTCGCCACCTGCCGCCGGCCCCCTCTCTCGGATAATGGGCTACGCAAGAGCTAAATCATCAGGCCTCGGCGCCGCCGTGAAGCGGCGTCGGGATTTCACACGAAGACGATGAGTAACCGGCAAGACAAATTGAGATTATGATGATATTGTTGAATTCGGTGTTGCATTTCGAGCTTGCTCGCGTACGCTGTGCAAAAAGCTTTCCTACGAAGTATTGAACTGTTGCAAATCCCATGTGTTGTTTGATCCTGACCCCACCGATCTGTATGAGGAATGCCACCGAATTTCAAGACAGTTGCAAGTCCCATGTGTTTGTCGACCCTGACCCCGCCGATCTGCATGAGGAGTGCTACCGAATTTCAGAAATGTAGCAAATCCCTTATGTTTTGGGACCCTGCCCCCGCCGATCTGCGTGAGGGGCGTCACCGAATTTCAAGACATGAGACAAATCCCATATGTTTTTCGACCCTCGCCGATCTGCAGGAGGGGTGCCACCGAATGTCAGAAATGTGGCACATCCTTTGTATTGTTGGACCCTGACCCCGCCGATCTGCGTGAGGGGTGCCATCGAATTTCAGAAATGTAGCAAATCCCTTGTGTTTTTACGCCTGACCTCGCCGATCTGCGTGAGGGGTGCCACCGAATGTCAGACATGTGGCAAATTACTTGTGTTTTTGGACCCTGACCCCGCCGATCTGCGTGAGGGGCGTCACCGGAATATAGAAATGTAGCAAATCCTTTGTGTTTGTTGTCTTGTCCGTGACCCCGCCGATCTGCGCGAGGGGTGCCACCGAATTTGAGAGATGTTGCAAACTGTGGTGTTTTTGGTCCCTGACCCCGCCGATCTGCGTGAGGGGCGCCACCTAATTTCAACAACAAAAAAAAAAGCAAATCCGTTGTGCTTTTGGACCCTGACCCCGCCGATCTGCGTGTGGGGTACCACAGAATTTTAGAAATGTATGGCAAATCCCTTGTGTTTTTGGACCTTGACCCCGCCGATCTGCGTGAGGGGTGTCAATGTCGACCCCCCCAGAAATTCTGAGCACGCGATCAGGGCGCGGTAAAAATTGCGTTTTGCGGCTCCCCCCCTCGCGCGGTCCACAACAAGGAACAGTAAGAAGCAAGAAGCAGATCTTCACCAGCGGAAATTGGAAACTGGAACTGGCGCAGGGAACAGCAAACCGTGGCCCTACAGTCGGGGCGCTGAAGAAGGAACCCTTTTCGTTGAGGAGGGGCTCGGTGTTCCTTGATTGTTTCACAGTTTGCCTTAGGCTTTTTTTAGGCTTTCGAAAGTAAGTCGAAGTTGAACTTGTGGGAGAAGTGGCCTCGTTCCGTATTTAGGGTTCCTTAGGTCAACGCCCCGACTGTACAGCCTGGTGGCCCCCCACAAGGGGGCCGGCGGATCCTGAACCCTCGTTGGTTGTCTTGAGCTATCTTGGAGCGTCGGAGGCCCCATTGTGCCATCTCGGGCGCCCTGAGCCATCGCGGCCCCTCTGAAAAAACCTCGGGGAGTGGGCGGGGGGGAGGTAAACCTCCCCGACGGGAAGAGTTCTCTTGAAGAGAAAACGAAGAACTCGCTAGACCACCTGACCCTAAAGGGTTGATGGGGTCATAACACTGGAAAGTGGAATATGTTACTGACGCAGGTGGCAGGACCCTCTCAGCTTCACAGGCTGTTGGCCCCGAATGGGGCCAGCAGATTCGGCTTAACATTTGGGCTAAATTCAGCTTGATCCAATGTCATGGCCCCTTGATCGAGGCTCGTGGGGCGCCCTTGGGCGCTCTTGGGACCGTCTGGGGGGCCTCTCGGGCCCCTCCTGGGCCTCTCTTGGGCCATCTTGGGGCCATCTTGATGCCTCAAGAGCGCATCGGAAGCGAAACGGCGATGAGGGAAAAATAATTTGAGTTCACATCGTGCTTACTACCACCGTGCTTACTGCCATCGTCCTCAACAGTTCTGGTAGAAGCCTCCCAAAAGTTGCCTTCACACGGAAGCGGAGAGCGGCGCCAGACCAGCCGCTTCGACCCTTTTGTGTTTGGGAGCAACCAGACGCCCTGGGGCCTGGGGACATCGAGACCGGGATAAACCGCTGCAGAGCGTTTCGGGCGGGTGGCAATGGGGGGCCCTGAGATCCTGGGCGATTCAGTCTTTTCGAGCCGGACATTTCGCCCAGTTTCGGGCCCTGGGATCCTCACGGATGGACCTGGCTCGAAAAGTGGCGCAGAAAGATGGGGTCCGGGGCTCCAGTTGTGATTTTCCCCATGTGCCAATGGGATCTCAAGGGGGCGACCCAAGTGGGGGGTCAAGAAAAGGGCCCTATAAAGGGGTCCTGCAGGGGGCCCTCAAGGGGTCCTGCAGGGCCCTTGCCCTCACCACCCATTCAGGTCACCCCCCATGACCACCCGCCCGAGCGTTCCAGAGCGCTCTCGGAGCGTCCTGGAGCCTTTGCAACGGCCCCCTCGCCCGAGGCACCCTCCAGAGCCGCCGGCTCGCGGAGGTCCTCGCCGTGTCTCGGCCCGACTTGGTCCCGGCCTTGGCTTCGTCTCGTCTTAGTATTCGTTTTCTTCCTTCTCTGCACTGGGGACCCATGCCAAGAAACACCCTGCTTTTGCCTCCCGGGTGCCCCCGGTTTCGATGGCTCTGCGATGGAAAAAGCGCGACGCTCCCGCACCGAAACTCGTCGGACGCCCTGGGGTCTGAGGGTTGGGTCGTGGACTGGCCTCCGCTGTACTTGTCGATCCTGGCTGGTCGAGGCCACCGCGCCCTGCGACCCGGACGCCGCGGAGGCCGCCCCCTCCGCGGCCACGACGCTGGAGGCGCCCGGCGCCGCCCGCGCGTGCCCCGCCGCCCAGAGCCTCGACCCCCCCAGGCATCCAGCGGCTCCTCGAGCATGTCGTCGTTCTCTTGTTGGCCCTCGCACGCCCCCATCCCTCCCCCCCCATGGAGCAGATTTTGGCTGGGGTGGGCAAGATTCCCACCCTGACACGTCGATGAGTGAATTGTCCGTGTTCGGTTCTCGAGAGGGCGCCGCGGCCGTTATTTTCCAGGCTTGCGCCCGCCAGGTTTGGGCCCGAGGTCGTTTTCACTAAAGCACGTTTTACTAAGGAGGGTTCTGTCCATCCCCGAAGCGGCTTGAGAAAGCCGAGGCGGCCAGCTTCGCAGAGATCCGAAGCTCCCCACCAAAGAAATTGAGCAGCCAACTTGGGGCTACTTTATGCCTCCGCGGGCCCTTGCGGGCCTCGGGACAGTCGCAAAAACGACTCAGGACGAAGGCCGGCCCTGGGGAAACGGTCCGGACCTCTGGGGCCCACGCATCGAAAAGATTGGAGCGGCCGGATGTCTGGGTTTTCGGATCGGTGCGATTCAAACGGGTACATAAAGAAGGGTGACGAAGACGGGCTGCAGTTCCTCTCCATGTTGAGCAGGACTCGCTGTCGGCGTCGCCGCGGACGTGGTTAATTCGAGACAGAGTTGCCTGGCCAACAGCGGCCGCTGCGGTTTGTGGACAGCATCTAACAAGTTAGGATGAAAAGATGGCCCTGGGGACGTGGTCGAGATGTGTGTGGGCCCACGCCTTGAAACAATGCTGCGCCGAATGTCTGGATCCACCCAAAGTGGGGCCAGAGTAGACGGGGTCGGAGGATCACGACGCATCGCCTATGCTCCAGCGATGCGGCCCTATCCGGAGCTGGATGGTCTCCGTCCCGACGTCACCCTGCGCATCGCCGGATGCATCGGCGATGCAGTGCGATCCCCCGACCCCATCCACGTGAGGATCCTCGGGAGGCACCCAAGAGGCCCCAAGACAGCCCAGACGGTCCCAGCCGCACCCAGGGTAGCCCCGCAGGGTGACAAGGACTCACTTCTTCCACGTCATTCTCCTCGTGCACCTCGTCTCCCTTCCCCTCGTGGTTCTCCGCCCTCCTTCTCCTTACTATCATCATCGTTGCCCTGCACGCTGTTCTTCCCGTTGTCTTTGTCCTAGTCGTCCTCCCCATCGTCTTTGTCCTCTCCCGCCTTGTCCCATTCGTCATCCTCGTCGTCGTCCTTATCATCATCCTTGAGAACCACATCCTCCCCGCTCCCCCCCTCCTCATCCACGCTGTCCTCGTCTTCACGCTGCCGTTCTCCTGCCCCTCCACGTCGTTCCTGTCTTCCTCCTGTTCCTCGTGCTCGTTCTTCTCTTCCTCTTCCTTGTCGTCATTGTGCTTGTATTCCCCGTAGTCATCCTGGTCCTCATCGACCTACCCTGGTGCTCCATGCTGTCATCCTCGTCACGCATCTCCTTGTAGTCCTCCTTTCCCTTTCCTCTTCTTCGTCGTACGAGCTGAGTATGCAAAAGGAGTGCTCGTCCGCCTCCCCCTCCTCATCCCTCTCTTCATCTTCCTCCAATCCTACTGGCGATCGGCAGCTTTGGCCAGCGACGGATCCGTCTTCGTCCATACATCGTTCGAGTTTCACTGTAACGTCATCCTGAAGTCGAGCGTATCGTCGTCCTCCTCCGCCTCCTCCTCCTCCTCCTCCTCCTCCTCCTCCTCCTCCTCCTCCTCCTCCCCGTAGCCATTTTGGCTCAAGATGCTTGCACTTGGGGGTTCCGCGCCTCCGTGCCAGACTGGAAGCTGCTATTCCGCAGCAGTGCCAGGGCTGTTCAGCCCGACATCCGATTTCACGATTCCCGTCGGTGGCAGGCAGCCCGCCGCCACCCGACAGTCCTCCGCCTCATGGTGCCGCAGCCGCCGCAGCCCAGCGTGCTGCGCGGCCCGCGCCGCCCGCTGTGGGCGTGCGGCCGCTGCGGGGCGAGCAGCAACTGGGCGTGCAGGATCAAGTGCTCCTGCGGCAACGACGCACCCGCCCGAATCCGCAAGTCGGCGTGGGACAACCAGAAGATATGGGATGCCAAGTCGCCTGGGTCAGCAGGTGGCGGCGGCGCAGCAGGCCGTTCGAAACAAGACCTCGAGCTCTCCAAGCGCCTGGGGGAGATTGAGAAGCTGCTGCGCGGTGGGCAACCCGATGCCAAAGAGAAGGAGAAGGCGCCGTGGCAGAGAGTACCGAAAGCTGACCCTTCGGCCGCCACGGAGCCTCAAGCTGATGACAAAGAAGAAGATAAACGAGCCAAGCTTGCCGCTCAGCTCGCCTGCTTCGAGGCGTCGCTCAAGACACTTCCACAAGGCGAGTCAGGTGATGAGCTACGGAAGAAAATGCAGACCAAGATCGACGCGATCAAGCAAGAGCAGAAGCAGCTACGGCCTCCCGCCGCGGCGCATCGCCGCGCAACTCAGGACCTCTACAAGGCGCAGGCGTCCTGTGAGCGGCTCACGAAAGAGATCAGTGAGAAGGAGGATCAGCTGGCGCGCTTGCAGGAGAGCATCGCCGAGAAGCGCATTCAGCTGGAGTCCAAGAAGACCGAGGTCGTCGCGCTGCAGGCGGAGGTGCGCACCCACGCCGCTAGCGTTGGCGGCAAGGCCCCCGAGCAGCAGAACCCAGCGGACTTCCTCAACGTGCGGGAGGAAGAGCTCGATGATGAAGAGCTCAAGAAGTTCTTCAGCTCGCCGTCCCGGGCGAAGTTACGCGAGCACCTGTCGGCCAAGATACCTGCGGCTCCTGATGTGCACATGGGTGATGCTGATAAGCATGATGACTCTCGTGCGCCCGCAGACCCAGCCGGCTCTACTGAAGGTGGCGGGCTCAAGCGCGATTTCGACGAGGCTGAGCAGCAGGCCCTCTGCACCCTTGGCAAGGACGGTAGCTTCGAGGAGTTTGCCGCCAAGCTTCGAGAGTTTGGAAAGAAGCCACGACTCGGGTAACCTGCTAGTATCAGGACTTAGGCTGCAGCAAGGAGTGGTGAAGCTGCCGCCGACGCCGCCCACGCAGGGCACCTACACCTTCGCGACGTTCAATGCGAGCGGAGGGCGAAAGACACTCAAGCAGATGATTCAGCGCACCACGGCGCACATCGTACTGATCCAGGAGACAGGCTTCACGGAGCCCTTGATCGAGTCGCTGCACAGCTGGGCAGGCAATCGAGGTTGGAAAGTTGCTGCTATACCAGCTCGCCCGACGAGTGGCATGGTCCCGTCAGGCGGTACTGCAGCTCTGGCTCGAGCTGATCTTGGGCTGCGACACCCAGACGGCGGTCAACTGGTATACGACCATCGCCTTCAGCACGTTTTGGTCGACCTGCCAGGGTGGCCCAGCCTGTCTCTGTTGAACGTTTACTTGAAGGACTCGATCGGCGCGACTGGCGAGAACACTGAAGTTCTCGCAGCTGCTGGTTGAATCATGGCGCGAACGGCTACGCCATGCATCATGGGAGGTGACTGGAACATGACGGGCCAGGACTTAGAGGACTCAGAGTTTCCACGACTGGCCTCGGTGGTGATAGCGATGCCAGATCAAGTCGCATTCCGAGGTGGTACTGGCTGTTCTACGATAGATTTTTCTGCCTTAAGAATGCAGCTCAACGAGGATTTCGAGGAGTGCAGGTTCAAAGTAGTTGGCACAAGAAAGCTCATCGGCCAGTTCAACTCAAGATAGCAGACAATGGGTACGCGATCCAGCACTGCGTCTACGCTGTCACGCAGACGCTTCCCGCTGTCTTGCCTGCTGGGCCGCGCGCGAAGCAGATTGACTGGACAATTCATGCAGCCTTGGCAGATGAAGCAGCGCGTTTGGCCCAAGACCCCACGAGTGATGCTGCTGTCGTTTGGGCCTTCCTCACCTGAGTACATGGAAAGTTTGCAGTCACTGTTGCTGAATACATCGCTGCCAACACGTGCACCGAGCTCAAGAACAGCGGGGTGTACGGCAAGAACCTGGAACCTCGTTGGGTCAACGCTGATTACCCCATGAACGTAGAGTCGGACATCCAGGCGATTGGCAAAGGTTGGCAGTGGTTCAGAGAAGGTTTAGTCACCATCCAGCAGTTATTCTCTAAACCAGATAAGATGGCAGAATGTTCAGAAGAGATAGCTCAGTTCCTGTCGACACCGTACCCAGGAGCAGGCCTAAGTGGACGATTGGATAGTGCGGTCACTCAAGGTCGCCAGGAGATCAATCAGATACCACTTGACTTGCAACGCATACAAACTTTCCTGGACGAAATCGATGATGACGTAGAGCTGGCAAAGAAAGGTCAGGTAAAAGATGCGAATGAGTCGTGGACAGAATGGTGCCGCATTGCTACGAGTGGAGGTGCTCGACCTCTACACCGTGTTTCCAATGTTCGAGCTGTCCCCGCACCAGCTTCTGCCATTGGAATACCATCTGGGGACACCGTGGTGATTGTGAAGCAGGAGGTGGCCCTCTACAGAAAGCTGCGGGGCGCCAGCAGTGCGGCAGCGGCAGCGCGGATCCCAGACAGGAGCAGCTGCCCACGACTTGAGCCAGATCAAATACGTCGGATCTCGAAGTCATTTCCAGCTACGACTTCGGCAAGCCTAGACAATTTCCACCCGAGGCATGCGGCGATGCTGGACGACGAAGGATTAGAGGTGTTAGCTTCCATCTGGGAAGCGGCAGAGGCCATAGGGGTCTTGCCACAGCAGCTGTGCTGGATACAGATGCCTCTGTTGGGAAAGCCCAGCGGAGGCAACCGCCTTATCATTCTTTACGCGGGCATGTACAGGATGTGGCAGAGGGCTCGGCGCGCCATCGTTCAGAGCATGCATGATACGCTGGATCGAGGATGCTGGGGCGCATGCAAAGGACGATCGGCGATAGACTGCGCATGGGCTCAAGCAGTGCGTTCAGAATCTGATCAGATGACGCACAGAAATGGTATTGTTTTCATTGCTGACTGGTCTAAGTACTACGAGAC